TCAGACTTACTGCTTCTCTTGTACGTCCAGCAGCTGGTAGAGTTTATTTGACAGAGAAGACAAATTTGGAAATGACAGGGATGGCTTGTGCAAACTTAAAATTACATTATTGATGAACTACAAAGTGGTTTAAAAATACGAATTCAGAGGGTAGTCCTGTTACCTGATACACTTTTGATTCCAAGTTCATCCCTCAGCCCCCCTATGCAGTTGTGTTCTGTTAAATTAACCTGGCATGTTGTTTTCCCAAGGTTTATGGGTCACTGACAGGGGTGGGTTTCATGCAGGCCAGCTGTTCCCAGCTCAAGTCCCCTCCTACACTCCAGCGATGCCGGAGCTAGCGAAGAGGGGAGCACGCAAGCAAAGGCTGCTGGAGGCAGGCAGCGCGGTGTGGAGACAGCCAAGTAATTTCACTTGCAGCTTCACTGTCAAAAGATTTTCACGAATTCCGTGCTCACTAACAAAATGTTGAAAAACGTAGTGTTACGTTACAGTTGTGCCCTGGGACTGTTTTTGTTGCTCCTCGGGACTCTTCCTAAGCTCTAATTACAAAAGCAAGCCTGAAATAGGGAGTGTTTCAAAGCCCCCCCGGCAAGGAAGATGCAGTATGTGTCACGTGCAGAGCTGAAAAGAAATGGGGATCTACAAAAGGAACCGAAATCAACTTGGAGCCTTTCCCCACCGCCCCAGCAGTTTTACGGTTGTGTCTGGGCTTTTTTAATGTCATAATGTGGTGACCAAGTTTTTGAAGAAGCCTAGCATGGTAGGCAAGGGTGTGAACTGCACAAGTACCATCAAGGTTCATGGCAAAAGGTATCTCTCCACTGCCACGGCAGTGCCATGCTCAGCTGCGCGCCCTTCGGTGGCCCGGCTGCCGCACGCTCTCCCTCCTTGGTACGCAGGAGTAGAGCACAGCACGTCCCCAGGATTAAAAGCGTTACTGACACTGTGCCTCTCTGCTTTGAGAATTTTTGTGCAGAGATAAACTCTATCCAGAAAGTTGAATGTAGGGGCACTCTATAGCTTTAACTGTAGGTGAGCATCCCTCCTTTAACAGCCAGTGTTTCGGACTAGAGGTAATAGTAGTGTCCAGAGCACTCAGGGCAGTGTGATGGTGTTCTGTTCTCACAGACAAGTTGAAGGTTGTTGTGATTTTTAGGGCAATACAAGTCTGGACGTCGTGTGACAGAGAATTGCAGTTTTGGGGCTTCTTACTGGTGTGTCTGGTGGAGCCAGAAAGGCAGGTAGGAAGCGTCACTAGCACGTTTGCTCCAGAAACCTGCCTCTCCGACAGCGAAATACCGGTTGCTTTAGTGGATGATGCAGGAAACCAAGTAGCTGCCAATTATAAAGTGCTTGCAGGCACATTTTTCTAACTTTTGACATTTTATGGCAGTTCTGAAGTTGGAGCGTTTCTACCCTAACAGACTGTTGATATCAATTGCTTAAGGTATATCTAATGTCTGATTACGCGCGGGCCTGAGAATGCGTGAACTCTAGTGAGTTGCAGTGGGTTTATCTGGCAATATTAGATCTTTATTTTCCAAGTTTCCTATGTGAAACCATACATATATTTGAGTAAAACATGCTAATTGCCGGCGAATAATACAGTGGAAAGGCATCTCTCTTCCTATTTGTAGTTTGCTGTATTACTTACTTTACAAGGTGGTTTGTATGGGGAGTAACCTGTTCTAGCGGTCAGTTGGGGGCTGTGTCAACATTCCTATTTGGAGCTGGGTCTTTAACATATGCAATGATCTTGCTTATCCTGAGGAAAAGTGAGGCGTATGGAAGATAAGAGGGGGTAATACCTAAAGCACACTGGATTCTGTGATGAAGAATGTTGTGTAAGGGCTAAGAATGGTTATGTCAGCCAACTGCAATTAAGAGTCTTGCTCCAAAAGGCATGTCGGGAGAAGTTCCTTGACGTGTAGTATGTAGCTGACATCTTGTGTTTAAAACTTCTGTAACACCTTAGTGTGTGTACATGCATGCACACCCCCAGTGGGTTTCTGGAGGGACCCAAAGAATTGAATATCTCTCAAGAGACATGAACAGCTGGCCTCGCGCACGCAGCCCGTAACTAGGAAGAAGAGGGTTTTATGTCGAGTCTGAATGAAAATCAGGACAAACATCAGTTGTTAGAATGTGCCAATCAAGAGCATCTTGGTGAATGCCATGTAGAAAGAAATTTTAATTTGGAGCTAGTGTTCAGTCAGTAACCAAAGAAATACTCTTCGAAGTGCTTCAGATTTCATGGTGTGGGAAACCAACAATTATGAGATACAGTGAACAATACAAGGTAGAATTGCTGAAGGGATTAATTAGCCTTAGTCTAACTAACCACTATAATTGATGCAAATATACATCTGCTGCCTGCTGAGATATTAGATAGTCGTCATACACCTGCTCAATTTACCAATGTTGCAGAACACAGCTGTCAGAATAATTTCTGGAGTTTTTTTGTTTTTTTTTTTTTTTTTTTTTCTTTTTTTCCCCTGGAACTCCTTGAGCATAATTGACTGTTCTTTTGTTGAAAATGTTTTCTTTTTCTCTCTTTTTTTTTTTTTTTTTTAAAATCTAAACAGCACTTCCATGATGGCAGAAAGGCACAACAACATATTGAAACTTGCTGGAAACAACTTGAAGCAGTAAGTGGAAACTTCCTGAGATGTGGCATTTAAATAAGTTTTCTAGTGTTTTCATAGAGGTGGTTCCAAACGTTGTATTTAGAAAAAGAAGGGTGTATGGATGAAAGCTGTAGAAATGGGATTTTTAAAACTTCTCTGTCTTAAATACACTGATAGACACCAAAAAGTCTGTTTTAATAGTGTGTTTGGCTTGCTGTGGGACCTGCGTCTATCATGAGTAGCATTTCATTTGATATGACAAGGGTGCTAAGCATTGCTGGAAATTCAGAGTCCCTAAGGGTCCTCTTCAGATACTCCACTATAAGATGAATACCGTCATACTGCATGAGTAAATTGAAATGGGACCATCCCTTGAGTAAGGTGGTGGTTCTCAAAAGTAAATACATTGGAATTGTTCATGTGACGAATGAAAAGTGAGCCTCTAAGTAGAGGAGAGGATAAAGAAAGAGGATGTCAGTAACCAGAAGTCCTAGTTGGAAATGTGTGAATCTCACTAACTGCCTTGTTGTGCGTTATAAAAATGAGGGAGTTAAGTGTTGGAAGGGAATGATTTGGTTTACAAGAGCAGAGGAGATGCTAACAGGGAAAAATATTGAAATACTAGTGATGTTAGTAGAATCAAGCAGCCTGAAGAATGGAACAAAACATGTGTTTCTGGTAACTTTGTTTTCTGAAGTTCTTTAATACGGTAATGTATTCCGGCATAAACAAGCGAGTCCTAAAATCTGACAGCTGCTACAGCAGATCAGTTTAGGGACAGGTATTGATTTTAGGTAGATTTTGGTACCTTTTTTTTTTCCTATACTGAAGGCTTGTATTTTTCCTTTTCAGAGTAAAAGGCGGTTTGAACGTGATTGCAAAGAAGCTGATCGAGCACAGCAGTATTTTGAGAAAATGGATGCTGACATCAATGTTACGAAAGCAGATGTTGAAAAGGTAAGCCAGAGGGTGGAGAGACTGTTTGTAAACACGGATGTGATAGGTTTAGTTCCACACTCTGCTGGTAAGATAAGCCCTCTGAGGCTTAATGCCTCATTTAAGTCAGGCCGTAGGTTAATTAAAAATAGGGAGATCTCTGCAGTGACCTATAGTTGCATAAAAATTCTAAACAGATACAGTCAGTTTTCTTCAGTAATGTGATCTGAGTTTAACACAGCTGACATGGCTCTAAATGAGCTTATGCAAAATCGGTTTTAACTAAGACCCCAGATTCTGTGACAGTTGAGCTTGTGAGGGTTCCCTGAGGGGTGCTCGCAGCTACCACACATTGTTAGTCACTCTGTGATCCAGGTAGAACTAAACTTCCTGCCTTTTGAGCAACACTTTGAAGGTGTCCTGGTGTCATTGGCTGCAATGAAGTATTACCAGGATTGTTGTTCATGGTTCTAGGTTTACAGCAGGGCAGCTTTTCATGTTATGCAGAATCCTGGAATCCATGCTTGCCACAGATGGCACATAACTATTAATTTTGTTTCTCAGTTGCTGTCTGGTTGCACAGTCATTTGTGGCTTTTATACACTGATCCCCATTCAGTGAAGCTTTTGAACTGATGCTTAAGGTGTTACACCTGTGCTCAGAAGATGCAGTAATGTAGATCAGAGGCAGCATATTACAATGTGTAAGGGCAGTTTTGTCTTCCCTGAGTTTGAGTCATATACATAGAAAATAGCCAGAACACTTGAAAAGGTTTGTTTCTTTAAAAAAAAAAAAGGGGGGGGGGGGGGGGAAGAAAGCTGAAGCTTAAAATACACCAAACATTTTGTTGCAGGGACCGGAAGGGAAACTGAATTATCTTTTCTAGTCCAAGATAGCCCTTGTAAAACATAGCTTTTGCTCCTCAAGAGGTCTGCTTCACTCTATTCTCAGTTAATTCAATCCTGGGAAGTTATCAAATACAAGTTTTTCTTTACATCTGTGGGATCTTCAGATGTTTCTAGGACGCTGAGCATCATGAAGATTAGATAGCAGATAGCATCAAGGATGCTATTAGAAATGAGGATAGTAAATGAAAGAGGCTCAGAAAATTTCCCCAAAATGCTGTTGCATACCAAAGGAGAAAATACCTCTGTGGTCTTGTAATTTGCTTGGCTACTAGTTGTAAATTCACCATGCAGATTTGATCCTTTGTTGCCATCTGGATTTACCCGGGCGCTTTACAGTGCCCTGCACTGCATGCACAGTGCAATGCGTGCACAGAATTGTCAGATGTAACACCACATGTGGGTTTTTCTGACAGAGGAGGATCATCTCTGCTTTATCTGTATAAAGTAACTTTTAGAATACGTTTTTTTCATAGTTAAAATTAGGACTTGCTCTAGATTTGCTTCAAAGCTGAGGCCATGTCAAAGGGATACAGAGGCATGACTTAATATCTGAAATAGAGGGCTGAAACTCCTTACTTCTACATCCCTTTCTAAGGCTGGCCTTTTCTGGTCAGAGTGAAGCCTATGTATTGGTGGTATATCAATCTCGTAGCATTAGGTAAATTTTAGGAAGCAATCCCTACCCTGGAGTAAAGTGAAGCAGAAGGGCTTCCCTTCTAAATTTCTCTAGCTTTTTAGTGCATGTATTTGTAAATTATTTGTTGCAAAATGAGGCTCAGTGGTATCTTGAAAGAAAAATCTGTTGCAGTTACATGTTGGCTAATCTCAGGAGATGGCATTAATCAACTTTCTAGTCAGTCAGCAGGGTAGATGGAGAAGGAAAAGGTTATCAAAACGAATGGAATGTGAAATAATATTACTGAACAGAGAGAACAGTGTTTTCCAAGTGCATGTGTTAAACTGGGTTCATCCATGTCAGGCTGTGAATAATGCCCTTTCTTTGCTTCCCTCTGCCCGTGTGACTGGGACCGCTCTTGCGTAACTCCCAAGTGCAAAATAGGATATTGTTTAACCAAGCACTGCTGTTGGGGGCAGCTCTCATCGACGTGCTCCGGGGAGATGCAGAAAACTGCTCAGCTTCATTTGAAGCAATACGATGACTTTTACCGCCTCCTTCTATTGTGGTGGTTCTGATTTCTCTTGCCCCTTATGGCTTGGCTGCTGCACTCCTACTCTCAAAAGCTCCCAAAAATCTGTTTGGCCAGGAAAGCAGACAATTTGGCTGTATTCAGAGCCAATGCTATTCACTTTGGCGGAACAAGGTGCTCTTCACGCAATGGGATCGGTTGCCCTCATTTCTTCAGCTTGAGATTGACACCTTGGCTACTTTAGCTTGCACCTGCAAATATAAGCAGACACTAAAGCTATTTTTTGCATCATGCATTATAGAGTAATATAATTAAAATTCTGCAGTGATCACAATGACACAGGCAATCAAAAGAATATATGAATACATAGCTGCAATTCCCTAATGCACCTACTGCTAAGCTGTATGAGGCTCTGAAATGCTCATATCTCTCAATCTTTCAGACATTGTAGCCTTTGACAACAGCAGCAGGAAATTCTGTCACAGAGCTGCCATCTACCAGCACTTAACATGGTCTTGTCTAAGGGATAACTCTTGGTATTATAGTTTGCTAGGATTCAGTAGCCAAAATAATGGTAGAGAAGCAAATTAAGTTATTTTCCTCCTTATTTCTCCAGGACTGTTTTGCAGAGGGCTTTAGGTGTGTGCTTAGAGGCAGGGCTGGATGTGCAGTATGAGTATCTTGTACCTAAGTCCAAGCTCCTGTAGGACCAGCTCGGGTTCGATATGCACAGGGCATGTGCCTTCTGTGCTTCTTCTGTGGCCAGTATGGGCTCAATCATCTTTGCAGCTGGCCAGTCTGGCGGTTGATCACAGAGCAAGCAGGGTGTTTAGCTTTGTTTCCCTCCATCTCCTTTCTTGGTGGTAGGACCATGGAGCAAAAGGCTGTGTTGAGTCTCTGCTGTGGTCCCGGTCTTTATGCAGGAATCAAAGGAGAGTGGCTTAGGGCCCCTGAGCTCCCTTCCTGTGTTTGCACTGCCCCTAAATTACCAGCAGCTGACATTTCCAGAGAGATGTTTAAGTGTCGACACAAAGTGCAGTTTGGCACCAAGGTTTTGTCAGTTCAGTTTGGCAAAGTCAGGGCAGGACGCTTACTGTGTTGCAGAAAGCTGTATTGTGAAAATATCCTTATAAACTAAGTAAATGCAACGTGCTGATGCTAGTACCGGGAAGCCTTGTAGGTATCGCTGTAAGCTTCAGCTTCGTTTGGATTGCAGTGGGATCTGTGCTTTAAAGCAGTTCTCTTTCAAAAACCACAGTGGAGCTGCTTCAAGTTTTTGACCATTTGGGGAAATGGTCTCTGTCACCAGCGCAGAGCCGGTGTACATATAAGGAAGCACTCTATTGTTTGTTCTTCTCTTCAGAGCTGTGATTACTAAAAAGCTGACATATTTATGGGATAATGTGGTACCCAGTGGTGCCTTTGCAGACTTGTGATTTAAAACAAAACAAAACAAAAAACCCCAAACACAACAAGTGGCTTTTCTAAAAGTTTCTTTTCAATGTAGACTTTTCAGAATATGTTTTAAAGAGGAGGTGGCTGAGGCCAGCCATGGGAAGGGCTGAATCTTCGCCTCTCCATTTGCACAGCAGTTGAGGGGGAGGACAGTGGTTTGAGGTACTGGTGTCAGGCAGGATCTGTCCCTTTGCTGAAGAGTAGCACAGTTGTATGTTGGTGTAATAGGTAATAATTTTGCCAGAAAACAACTTCAGCTTTGAGCAGTAAAAAATGAGCTGTATGGGAGTTCCCAGAATGGCTGAACTGAAGTTGAGCCTCATCACCTTGTTCAGAATTTTGTTTCTGTTATGTTAGGAGCGTTCTACCTTAAGTGGTTCTGAGATTTATGTAAATGTGTTGTGAATTTAGAAAGTAGTTTAGTAGTAGTAGATCTAGAAAGATGTAAAGTGCAAATTTGACCTTAACTGTCATAAGTCAAGAAGCTTCTGACACTGCTAAAAACATGGGGTAGGCATCTTGTTTTGCTATGGGTTTTTGACTGTCTTATCTTTAGTAAGTCTTCAATCTGCACCCAGAAAGGATGAGCTTGTGTTAAGATTTTATTTATCTCCTGTGACATTCAGACATCTTTTCTGGGGCAATGGGGTTTTCCTACTGAATTTGCTTTCTTACATACTTACAGCTGCTCACGCTTGTTGCAAGTCAGCTGTCAGTTTGAAATCAAAATTACTCTAAAATTATACAAACTTATATATAAATTTATTATTACAGAATTATCATTCCATTCCTTCTTCTCTTCTCTGCCCAATCCTATGTCATATCTAAAAACAGAAGAAATGAAAAAGTTGATGGTTCTATTTCCCTGTTGACTTTGAGATACTCAGGAGTTTAGACGTACTGGCCTTTTTTTTTCTTTTGTTTTGTTTGTTTGTTTGTTTTTTCATTTTGAAGTGGAGAAACTGAGGGAAATAGAAGTAACCTCAAGTTTATTGAAATCTCTAGGAGCTTTCCCCAGTGCTCTGAGGCTTACAGCAGACATAACCTGATCTGAATCCAAGATTTTTGGAGTCCCAGAATACCTTAAGATTTGCATAGAGGCATAAAACCTCGTAATACAGTATCACCATGACATTTATTTTTCTAATCTGTAAATCTATCAGAGAGATACTGATGTTTCATGCTTCAAGTTTCATTTTCTTTTCTCTTTTCTTATACCACGCTCCCCAGGTGCTCACCATCGACTTCAGTGCTGATGTAAAGAGTCTCTATCTCCCTTCTTACCCATAGAAGACACATCCACTTACATTGCCTTGGGTAGTCATGAGCTGAATCACTGGCAAAGTCTTAGTGAACATAGATGTAGAAATACTGCTACTTAGAAGGAGTCTTGGAATAAGCTGATCTTCCTGCCTATACAAACGCAGTTATGCTGTCAAATGGTAAACTGCTTTTCCAGCCTCTAGGCTGCTTCGCTGCAGGATGCAAATCTCTTCATTAAGAATTTACA